ATTTTTTTTACTTTATTTATTTATTTATTTTTAATGATAACAAAATGCGGATAAAAAAAATAAAACATTATTTGAAGTAGATTATTATCGAATAATCATAATCTTAGATTACATATTTTTAATAATGTTATTTAAGAAAAAAAAAACATTGCTTAAGAAAAAGCTTCTTAGTTGTGCTTTTCAAAATAGTTTTCAATGTAAGTAAAATGATAGTATTGGCGTTTTTCTTGAAGGCCAAATTTCAAAGCAAAAAGCAACCCATTCAGAAGAAACTTAGGGGAAGGATAATAGTTTGAGTAATTGAGGTAAACTGCCAACCCTTCTCTTTGTTCGTCCTCCCCTTAACTGACCCCCATTTCTTTCCCCACTGAAGAATCTCTTTTTCTACTCTCCCTACCCCAAAAACGCGAGACCGTCACGAAACGACACTTGCCGTAGTTTGCTTGTAAATGTCTTTTCATGACGCTTCGGAAGCAAGGGGTTAAAGAAGGAACGTTGCAATGCTACACGCTACATTAACGACGTCTCCAGAGTAACTGAATGACGGTTCATATAGAAATCGCAGGTAAGCGTCTCATACAACAACGCCCCCTATAGTTCGTTGCGATCGCGAATTGTCTACATCATGATGTATCTCCACTTAAGCAGCAAAATAGTAGTTTTCTGGGGAATATTTTATGAATAGTAGTAGCAGTAGTATTGATAATACTTTATTTACGTCTCACTAAAGCTGCACAATGAACTATTGGCGATATCTATTGAGGATGATCTGAAGACGCGCCATTACAGTTTTAAGCCACTACAGGTGGTCATCATCCCTCCCACTGTAGTAGCGTGATGACCTGCACGGAAAGTCGAGCATTTTACGGTGGAACGATTTAACGAGAACCGACACCACGAACCCTCTGTCCCTACGGAGACTGATCAAAGTGGTCACCCACACGCTTATTGAACGTATTCAGTGAACACCATCGTCACGCATTACGGAACGCATTCAGAGAAGCTTGATATCGGTATTCTATTGGAAACTGTGTCTATTGAATCAGTGTACTGCTGGACAAAATGTTTAAAAAATATTTCAGACAAAATTTTTAAATTGCACATACAGATCAGACGCTTTTTTAAAAAAATTTGCAGCAAATACGGTTGCAAAACTTACTGTTGCCGTCGAGAAAAAAAAAGGTATCTGATTTTTCACGGGAAAATATATTTCACCAATCAGGTGAATATTTTTCAACAGGTGATCGGTGGTGCGGTAGTCGAATTTGGTGAGAATGCTCCTTAAGGAATCAGTGTGAATGCTTTACGAGATAGTACAAAGTTTGACTTTCAAGTGAGGTTAAAGCGTTATTTTCAACAGAAAAATCCTGCAACCGGCTTATGTTATTAAATTGAAATGGTTGTTTCAATGTCCATATATAATCGGAATCAGGAAACAATAATATTCTAAAACCAAAATAGTTTTTGAAACTTTAGTTATCACAAAATGTAAGTTAAGTTCCCTTGTGTGTTTAAAATTTTTGAAACTCTTGTTTCTATTAATAGCTTTTTAACTTATTTTCTATTATAAACAACATGTTTAAACAATATATTGTTTGTAGTGTTTATTAACTAAATGATAAATTAACTAAACCAACAAATCCTTTATTTTTAAGGGCTTTAAGTAAAGGCGAATCTAAGAGCAAAGCAGAGAAAGAAAAGAAAAAGAATAAAAGAAGTAGTGTGTCATCATCTTCTAGCAGTAGCAGTGCTAGTTCAAAGTATGTATTTAGTTTTGCATAAAATGTTTTTGAATTTAGCAATAGAATCTTTGAGTCAAAATTGATGACGTATTACATTTGGTCAAAAGTTTCTCACTTAATATCATTTATTCATATTATAGTATTTAATATTTATATAAAACAAAAGTTATCTTTAAAATATATGATATGTACAAAAATGTTTGTGCAGTTTTTATTGTACATTTAAATTTGGTATTCTTTTCTAGTCCTCGCAGTAAAAAGACTGAAACTAAGAATACTAAGTGAGTATATGAATTATTTACTAAATAATCTCTCATATTTATGTATTCTTAATAAGCAAAATAAGTTATGTATTTATATTATATTTCAACTCATGTCATTTTCTTCTAATGCCTCTATTTAACTTCTTTGCTACTCCTAACTTCACTGCAGGGTTCATACTTGCCCTATACCTTTAATTATACGAATATTTTATTTCAAAAATTCAGATTTTGTGTGTGTTTAAAACACTTCATTTTCTTCAAATGCAAATATGGATTTTAATCAATCAATTCAAAGAACCTAAAGATTTGGATTATCAATCTAACATTTCTTTAATTTTAATTAATAATGCTAGTAAAAATTGCAAAGGTTCGATTTTTTAAACTTAGGGAGTGTTTAATAATTACAAATATTGTTTAGTTCTGGCATATAGCCTTGCAAAATTCATTATTTTAAACTTTTTGGAAATTCTTTCATTTAATGTAAACAAGTTTCAGGTAACAAATTTATGTTATCAAATTTTTATCCGATTAATACAGAGATCATACACTTATTTATTGTTTTCAGCAAAGGCAGTAAAAAATATTGAAGGGTAGATTTTTTTATCCTCATAATTGTTGGTTTTTAGTACCTCATATCAAAAAAGATTGATTTTAATAAACAATGCAGTAATCATATCACATAGTTATAAATAGCTAATTGAGGGCTCATCCATTGAAATACTTTTTTGTATTAAACAGTTAAGTGGTATGTTTCAAGATTATTAGAACCTTACTTTAAAATAATTTGATAAAAGTTTTAAAATCTATTAAAAAATTTAATTAAATATTGGTCTGAAAGAGGGAATATTATCTATCTAATTGATACTGGTTATTTTTTTAATGCAAAAGAATTTTATGTATTGATTGGAAATTATTATAAGTTATTCAGTGTTGATAAAATTATGATGGAAACCGTTAAAACTTTCTCTTCTGATTGAAGTAATCCAGAATTAAAAAAGGTTTCTTTATTACAGTACAGAACCCGGAAATCGGAAAACCAAAAAACCTGAACGAAATTCAATAAATTTTCCCGCTATTTTTTTTTTTAAAAAAAAAAAATTTCCCTCATAAGATTTTAGGATTTTTCTTCCTTTTTTGAAAGATGTTTACCTTACCATCATTTTGGAAATAATCATTAGTGTATTACTCCATCGTTTTTTCTTTTTAAGATTATTTCCAAAAAAAAAAATTTTTTTTAGTTGGGTTTAACACTAAAAATAACGGCTTTTTGTAGTGATTCAGAAAACCGGAAAAATCATTTATCCGGAATAGCGATGGTCCGGATCGTTCCGGATAATTGGTTCCCTACTGTACCATTATTAATGTGCTTAATAATGATGTGTTTAAAGTGCTATGACGCTTAAGCAGAAATTTAAGTTTGAATTTTTTAAAAGTAGTAAGTAAACTGTTCCAAAAAATGTCCCTTTTTTTTATAAAAAAAAAACTCTCTTTAAAGCCTGTGTACTGTTTATGTATGTGTTTGTTTAGTGGCAAAAAATTTAAGTTGACAAATATTATTGACTCTGTTGCAACTTATAAACCTGTTATTTATAACAGATTTGACAAGTAGCAGGATTATTTTTTTGTTTTAATTTTTTAGCTTGTTACTTGTCATATAGATTGTAGATTTTGGTAGGGTTAGACTTCACAATAAAACAGGGTTTGAAAAAACCCGGGGAATTTTGAAAAAACCCAACCCACCTGGGTTTTATTGAAAAAACCCGGGGAAAATTGGGTTTTATTTGAAAAAACCCGGGGAAAATTGGGTTTTTTCATTTAGTGCTCATAAATTTTACTGTGAAAATATTTTTATTTATTAAATAGTATTGTATAAGTAAACACTAAAATTTCATCTGACTTTTACCTGTAATAAAATTAAACTGGAATAAATATTTAATGGTCTTCAATGTTTTTATAATACGATTAATAGAAAGTGAAATTAAAATTATGTATAATTATAAAGAGTATCAGTTACTTGTCCCTTTTTTCAAATATTTAGATAAATATATGCATTTTAACTTTATAGTTTCAAAAAACAAATTAATCTTAAAATTATAAAAAAGCATATATAAAAAGTTATAGCTCATTTTTTTAAAATCAGATAATAAAACTTTAAATTTGTTTATTGTTGTTTAATGTATCACTTAATAAATTTTTTTTTGTTTGCTTTCAATATTTTTAAACATGATTAAAAGAAACAAAATAAATTGTATTCAAATGAAATCTTAAAAATATTTAAAAAATCTTAAAAGTAATATTTTAATTTTTAACTGTTTTTTAATTGTGATAAACTTTCTCCAAATAGTTAAAAATTGTCAGCAGATGTTAAGAGTTAACTTTAAAAAAAAGGTCAATTTTTTCCTTTATTATTATTATCATACAACAGATTCAAAGTGTCTACATTTCTCTCTTAGATGGCAATACACTTTTACGAGTTTTGTAGCTTTATCTATTCCTAATCTATTTCGAAGTTTACTCTGCACCAAACCGAAAGTTGAAAAGTGTCTTTCGATAGAGACAGAGGATGCTGGTGCTGAGTGCAAAGAAAAAAGAATTGACAGAAATTTTGTGGAAGCTAGGAATTTTATTTATTTACTTATTTTTTTTTTTTTTTTGCCATAATTTTCCACTATTTTTTGATGAAAACTGTTCAATAACAGTGTCAAGCATCATTGATTTTGGAAAGTATTCAGGATCGGAAATTTTGGATGCCATAACACGTGGCAGAAATTCTGGATGATGCTTAGAAAGACAGCTTTCTGCTAATTGGTCTTGTTCATCATTTAAAAATTGTCCCCTTGTTTCGGGATCCAGGATGCATATGCTGATAAATGATGTGGCTGAACAGCCTGATCTTTTAACAAAATGTTTATGGGATTCTAATTCATCACACGATAGTAAGTTAATTCATATTTCAACAGGTTCTGAAATTGAAATGTTTTCTGGTTGAAGCTTTTTTAAAGCTTCAGAAACAATTGATATCTGTTTTTCCCAATTGATAGTTTATTGGTAAAGCCCAACATTATTTAATTTTTTTGACATATAAAATTGTTCAAGAACAATCTCTTCATATTTATGGTAATTATTGGCAAAAGTTTTTACGCGCTCACAATATGAATTCCACCTAGTATCATTTGGTCATCAAGCAGTTTTTTTCATTTGCCCATCCATGTGCTTGATGCACATTTCTAAAATATTTGTTAACTTCAACGATATGTCCAATGATAGTATTAGGAGATACTTCTTTTTGAACCAAATTTTAAAAAAAAAACAATTTGTGAAAAAAACCACCAAGTGGGTTTTTTCAAAGTGGGCCCACTTGGGGAACCCTGGTTATATGTATTTTATATTAAGTTTAAATAACGCATTATCACTAATACATATTTGAATCTTCTTTATTTTTAAGTACATTACGTTTCATAATTTTTTAACTCAAGAATTATAAAATATAAATGCAGTAATATAAAAGGAACAAGTTTATTAATCTTTTTGTTTTCACACACATTTATTTACTATATTTATTAAACATATGGATATTACCCATTATAAAATTATAATCTGTAAATATTTATAATCAGTAAAAACTAAAATTTCATCTGACTTGAGTTAAATAAAAAACTGAAATAAATATTTAATGGTCTTACATGTTTTTATAATAAGATTAATAGAAAGTGAAATTAAAACTACGTATAATTATAAAGAGTATCAGTTACTTGTCCCATTTGTTTTCAAATAATTAACCCTAGGAAAATGATTTCATTTTTAGATAAATAATTTTAAAAAGTTCTCTTATAAAAAGTTTTAGCTTTTTTTTTTTTAAAGCTAGAAAATAAAACTGTTTAAATTTGTTAATGTATCACTTGGTAAAAAAAGAAAAAAATTGTTTCTTTTAAATTTTTTTTAATATATTATATTATTATATTACCTGTATGTATTATATTACCTGTTTATTAATATATAAAGCATGCAACTATAGTTGAAAAATTGATCTTTTCAGACTATATTATTTAAATTTTTATTTGATTTAATATCATTAAAATATTACTTTTTTGAAAAAACCCACTTGAAGTTTTCAATAGCACCTACTATAAAAATTATATGAATATTTGAGTTTCTTTTACTTTACTAATATTAAAAACTTAATCATATAAATCATGCAACTCTATTTGACAAATTTATGCTGCACAATAAATTATATAAAAATAAATGTGAAACAATAAGTTCTAGTAAAAAAAAATTTTTTTGTTGAAAAAACCCACTTATCGTTCCAAGTGGGTTTTTTCAAGGTGGGCCCACCCAATAAAACCCGGGCGGGTTTTTTCAAAGTGGGCCCACTTGGCGAACCCTGCAATAAAATCTTATAAAGACTTGTACTGTTTAAAAACTAAATATTACAATTTGATTAAATATGTACACAGGTGTTTTTTTTTTTTTTTTCCTATTTAATAGTACCCGTATTAAAATTTTTATTTACATGTTATATATGATAAATTCTAATTGATGCTAAAAAAAAAAAAAAGAAGCTATCACGTCATGACTAGAGTCTCCTAGTTAGGGATCTACAAATCTTTGTTACCATGGTTCCTACACTATTAAAGCTGGTGACCCATAAATATAGAATTGAAACTGTTTTTTTTTTTTAAATGTTTATTTTTAACTGAAGTTTGAAATTCCTCATGACCTCATTCCAGCAATCTAAAAACATCAATCATCTATCAGTTACAATCACAGCTATCTCTATACAGTTAAAACACACATGTTACAACTTCTTACTTTTTATTAATTTATTTTTCAGGTGTATGGTTAATATTTTTACAAATACTTCTGAATATTTTTTTAGTGGGTATATTAGGATGAAATCTGATTATTATTATTATTTAATTTTTTCACTAAGGAAACTATTATTAGTATGTTTTAAAGTTTTAGGCTATACGAAAATTGATTCTCTTCTTGTAATCTAGACTATTAAAAATTTGATTGCTTAATGTTTGAAGTTCCCTCCAATTTATTGCTGAAACTATTTTTGTTCCTTTCTTTTTAAAGGTAGAACATAAAATACATAATATTTTTCACATTTTTTTAATATAACAAATGTTTTTTATTGTAGGCGTTCAGGCTCATCTTCTTCATCCAGTTCTAGCTCTTCATCTAGTAGTAGTTCAGATGGTGAATCACGTTCTCGTTCTAGCTCATCATCATCCTCATCTTCTTCATCATCTAGATCTTCAGGATCAAGACGTGTCAGTGGACGTGGGAAACGCAATGTAGCAAGGTTATTTATTAGTTGCCCTCTTAATATATTATGTTTTTTAAATTTAAATATTTAATATCAAACAATAATTGTTCTGTTATTATTTATGTGTTTCTCATTTTTTAATAAAAACCTTTTATTTCTATTTTCATGAGAGAAAAAAAAATTCTCATGATTTGCATTAAGTCACACATTATGATTTGCATTTATTAATATCGTGCTTTACCATTTTTTCGAATCATATTTTTTGTTATTCTGTTTTACAAATTTCAATTTATTCTTTGTTTGTAAGTCACCCATACGCTCTGTGTTCCCTTGTTGACTGCATTTCTCTGGCAAATAATGCATCGCAATTCATTTCCAGATGATTTGAAAATCATGCATTGCTATTTATATTTACATGATTTATAAAACCGATATTCCAATCTCTATTCACACGTTTTCAACATCCAATATCACGATTTGTATTTGTAGGCAGAATTTTTGTAATTTTGCAGATACTTTAGCATTATGTGCTAAGATATTATTATTATTTATTTATTTTTTATCTTACTCTGATGCTGTAGTTATCTTAGCTTAATTTGTATTATTATCTTCAACTTGGCGGCAATAAAAAAGATTTTGTATTTGATAAAATAACAAACAAATCAAAAACTTAGGTATTTTGGTGATGCTGGGAATTTTAAAAGGGATTGCCCTATTCATAATAAATTAAGTAATTAATTACCAATAAAAATTATGCATGACACTCATTATTATTTTTGTTAATGTTTTAAAGAGTCTTTATTTACTTGCTTGAATATTAAATTTTATACACATGAAATATAGAATGAATAATCCTTTGTTAAGCATTTGCGATGTTTTTTTATTATTACAAAACGTTTTTTATCCTTTAAATGTCTTGTTAGAAAACAGATTTACTTTCAATGTAAATTATTATTTGTCTATATAATATGGACATGTGCTCAAACATTATGTGTATTCTCGGGACAGCAACAAATAAATCTTAAAAACAGAATTAGTTAGAAATAAGAAAGGGCACATTTGTCAAAGGAAAACAACACAAGAAAAGCTTTGGTAACCGAAGGGGCAATTTTTTTTTTATTTGCAACTTTGTCTTTTCTCATTTTTTGCTATCCTACAATCATCATTCAAAAATTAATGTAAAACTGTGTCCACTTTATTTATGAAAATGAAGCAGACAGAAATACAGCAGTAAAAGTACTGCTGTATTTCTATCTGCTTCATTTTCTTTTGAGTATTCACATAGGTTATTATATTTAAATGCCTGTTTTTAATTTGTTATATATTTTTAGAATGTGCCAACAATTTCTTCTGTAATGTTTATGACAATATATAATTATTCTATTCTTTGCAGCAATTAATGTTTTCTTTTTCCCTATAGATCCCCTTCAATAAAGAGAAGGAGAAAAAGTCCATCTCCTAGATTAACAAAGATACAAGTCAGTCGTCTTACACGCAATGTTACTAAGGACCACATAAATGAAATATTTAGTACCTTTGGAACATTGAGAAATGTTGACCTTGTCATTGATCGGGAGCGTCCGCATTTGTCAAGAGGTTTTGCATATGTTGAGTATGAAAACCCAGAAGATGCTGGAAAAGCACTCAGATATATGGATGGGGGTAGGTGGAAAGTTTCAGATTATTTTAATTTACAACATGAAAAATCATATAAGGTCATTTAAAATATGTCACTCTTGATTGATTCAGTCGTGAGAACACACAATTTCAGGAAAGCTAAAGAATTATGATTTCTGCAATATATCTTCAACCGTTTGAGAAACATAGATGCAGAAAAAATAATTTTGTTATATGCTGGGAAAAGTTTATATGTCTTATTATTTACAGAGAGGGTAATTTTAGGCTGTTTGGAAATACGTTTTACTTAAATATTTAGCCCAACATGTCCTTTCTAGACCTGGTAGGTACCATTAAACCCTACTTACAATTAAATGTATTCATAATACTTATAACACAATGTATGGCTATTATATGAAACAAAAGGAAAGTAAGATTCTTATGATCCGTATGCAAGTTTTTTGCTGTGGTATATTATGAGCTAAATCAAATTTCATCAGCAGGGTGGCCACAGACGTACTGAAAAAAAAAATCATAATAACTTTGTGGACTGATTTTATTAAGTTTTCCTGGTTTTTGTAACTTTTGGCGTAATTATTCTATAATTAATTTTTCAGTTATGCCTTATTCTTAAACGAAATATTACTCAATACTCTTTTACTTGCTATTAAAGTTGAAAATAAACAATAAGATAGAAACAATACTACATACTTTACTACAAAACAATTTTTAAAAAAAATATTGGACTTATAAGTCAAATTAATTATTCTTCCCTAATTTTTTTTGGATATTTTAAGAAAATTTCTTGATTTTTCCGTGTTGATTAAATTCCTTATTCCTCATGGCCACAATGATTAATTTTTTAATAAATTCTACATTTCCGCCATTTATTTTGTCGTAAACGATTTTGTCATTCATTGGTGCAGATCTCTACGTAGTTTGGGTTTTTTTAGTCATTATACTGTACCACAAATTTCAAATCACACTCTTAATTAGTGACGATTTTCAATTGTTTTTTTTTTTTAATGTGTTTTATTGTCATTATACTGTACTGGGAAATTCGAAACACGCTTTAGAATACTCACTTTTTGATGCACTTAATTAGCAACAATTTTACTATAACTCGATGTGGTTTTGTCAATTGCTATTATTGATTTAGATTAGCAGATGTTTATTATTTTGTTAAAAATCTAGATGTTTTAATACAAAATTATATCATACACATACTACAAATGTTAAATCTCACAGTTAAATAGTCACTTTTTGACACATTTGATTATCAACGATTTTTCCAGGAATCCTGCTCGGATTTTGCCAATTGCTTTTTTGGTAGTTATTACTATGGATTTTTTCGTAGTTTTAAATATTGATGTTTTAATAACATTTCATCCTGCTAATTTTTAGCACATTTGAAGAAAGCTTTATTTTAAGCTCTTGAACATTGAGGATTTAACCATAAATCTTCAAATAAGAAATATGATACCTCACTTTGGTGCACACAGTTTGCAACAATTTTGTTGTGAATCCACTTGGTTTTGTCGATCACAGTTTCAGCTATTGCTAAAAACTTTTACATTGTTCTTTAAATCTCTTTTATATATGTGTATATATGATGCTATGACCTTATAACATGCATTAGTAATGACATTTTCTTCTAGAAATGGCAGGATTTTGGGCATTTTGAAACCGAATTACACGATTCTTTTGGCAATAGTAATCTTTTTTCTCTAAGCAGGAAAGAAAAAAGTTTTTTTCCCGCTTTAGTGAAATTCCAAAGCAGTTACAAAACCTCAGATATTGTTTTCCTGATTTCCGAATTATTTTTTTTATCAAACAGCATAAGTCATTAAACCTGGGTGCAATGTTTAATTCAGGCCAAAAGAAAGCCAGCTTTTATTAAAGCTAAATGTTTTTCAAAAGCAGACAAAATGAAAGGAACATGATGTTAATAAATACAGTAGTTTGGTTGGGTGACAGAAACAGTGTAGAATAACAGTTTTGCATTTTTGAAACAGCTTTAAACCTTACAAGTGTTAAGAATGATCATTTTTAACTTCTTATTCTTCATCAATGGTGCACCAACCCAGGGTGGGCGATGACCTTCTTCAGAAGCAAGTTCCAAGCTGCCCTCTTCTTAGATAGACTATCATTTTTAGCTACTTAGGGGTTATAAAAATTTATTTCCCAACTTTTGCAACCAAATATATTTTTAATATCGTTTTAAATAGTTCTCAGTTTTATAGAAAATTAATGATAAAAAAAAGTTTATCAACAATTTCTTTATGTAAAACTAGGAAATTATGCTTCAATTTTAAAAAAGAAATGCATAAATATTATGGTTATATTTATACTTTAAAAAAACGAGAAAAAAAACAGCTAAAATTGTTGTTAAAGATCGAAATGTGTTATTGGCACAAAAGATAATTATGTCCTTGCTTTACATACACAGTTATGCTTCAATAAATATTGTTCTCACAAATCAGGTAGAAAAAGAGATGTAATTATTTCGATGCAAAAAGTCAGTATCGAAATACTGTTCAACTGTTATTCTAACATGCATTACAGTTATTCCCTTTAAAAAGTTCACATAACACTTTTATACAATATCTACATTTAGTTATAATTTTTCCTGACAAAATGTAATATTTGACATTTTAAGTGGAAAATTTGTTTTTTTCTGAGTCTGAAGAAAAATTGCAGTGTAAAAATTAAATATGGCCTGGAAAAAATTAACAATTTTATTTCTCAAACTAAGTCGGAATCCTGATAAATATTCAGTGTTATAACTGGATTGCTTATCGAGTGCATAAAATTGTCTATTTTCAAGAAAAGCTAAAATTTCATTATTTGTTTTTAGAAGTAAAACAAATGTTATATCTTATTTAAACTATATAGTTTTAAATATGTAACTGAAATGGATACATTTTTATAATCAATATATTTACCGAATATTATTATAAAACAAATATTAGCATCTTGGTGCCTGCAGTCTTTTAAAATCTGTCTTATCTTGTAGATTTTTTAAAAATGTGGTTGATTTGATATTTATTAAACTGTGTTCTTTTGTTTCAATAGGCCAAATAGATGGGCAAGAAGTGCAAGCATCCCTTGTTCAATTTCACCCTGCTCCTCAGAGACTCACCAGAGTTCGTTCACCTCCTGGGGGTATGCGCAGAGCTCCACCCCCTTGGCGACGATCTCCTCCTAGAGGAATGAGGGGTGGTCGTCCCAGGAGAAGGTAATTAACCTATTAAAATCTAAAAGTGTTCCCCGGTCCTTAAACTGATATTTTGATTTAAGTTATACTTTGGTTGGTTTCATTTATTGATTCTTCTATTTCAGATCACCTCCTAGATACAGAAGAAGATCTAGGACACGGTCAAGGTCTCCTAACAGACGGCGTCAAAGATCAAGCAGTAGTAGCTCTAGATAAATTACCTGCTAATCTGAAACTTTAAACTTTATGATACTGTTTCATATAATTCTTATCTTGTTTGGTAACCTATGCTACAATTCTGCAAAAAGTATTGTTTCATTAAATTGTGGACTGGAACTAGTTTGCACTTAATTACTTCTCTTTTTACATTTATGCCAATATTAAAAGACGTCTCTTGTTGTATTCTTATTCAAGATAAAAATTTTGACTATGACATTTTTGTTGTTTTAATCAATAAATTTTAAAAATAGAATTGTCTTTTCAATGTTGTATTTTTCTATCAATTTTCAAATAATGCAATTTATGCCTTTTTAGTTTTTAAAAGGTTAATGGTTTATTTATCTTTTGACTACTTTTCAATACTAATTTTATAATCTGAAAAAAAAATCCTAAATTTTTCTATTATATATCTGTTACAAAATTTGTTTTATATTAGCAAAATTCAAATTATTAGGAATAATCTTAACCTTGTAATTTTATTTTATATTTACTGTTTTAATTCTATTAACCTCAATTTTAAAAACAACGTTCAGGATATTGTGAGAACATAGAATAGCTGAATTTAATATTTTTTCTTATTTAAGTATTTTTTTATATGGTTACAGTTATTTCTTTTAGCAATAAACATATCATTTTTGCGATTCAGTAACTATTTTCATAGAACTTGCATATGCATCTTTTAATTGCTGTAATTCTTTTTGAGCAAGATCATTTTCTTCTTTTATATGTTTGTAATCATCAATAAGTTTAGGGTGTTGAAGGAGAATAAATCTGTGCTGTAAGTCTTCATTTTTCTCTTTCATTTTGTTATATTTTGTTTTTTCTTCAAATAGGTTACTACGCATCTGAAAAAAGGTAGAATAGTATGTAAAGATTTTTGTTAGAATAGCATAAATTTTATTAGAATATTGTAGTAGTGTTCATAGTATTTGGCACCTAATGAAAAAAATCTGGTTTAAATATCTTAAAAATTAAAGAATGAAGATGTGGAAAATCTCTTCTTGTTTTGAACTTTCTTTTAATAAGTACAAAAGATACTTAAAAAATTGCTTGAAATTTTTAAAATATTTAGATCGGATTTTTCTCTCCATTAGTTGCCAAATAAATGAAAATGAAATTTTATTAGTTGCCAAGCTTATTGCTTGATTTTTTAGCATAAAAAAAAAATTGTTAAAAAAAAATTTTTTTTTCATTATTTATTTTTGGTCTCTCACTGAAAACTTTTTTGCTGAGTATGAACAATCACATGAACAAAACACTTCTAAATTTACAAAGCATTCCTTTTAGTATTTCTTGATGAATCTTAAAAATTATTAAAAACTGAAAGTGTCTCTTCCATTATTCTAGGGTAGTGCATCTTTCAAACTTATCAGCAATGTTCTATCGTGACTGCCACTTTTAACAATATCATTATTTTAGTTTAAAACAAGCATTTTTTTTAAAGCATTTTTTTCCCATCAATTTATAAGCCTTTTGAAAAATTTTGTTATTGACATTTCAGTATTAAAAATCTGTGCATATTGATGGCAGAATATTATCTTACAATTTTGTTACCTTTTTTGATGATTTGCTGAATCATTGCATGTATGTGTCTAAATGGAGTATTTATTTTATATGTTTATATAGTATATATATTCTATTTTTTATTTTCAAAAAACTAAAACTACAAAACCCTTCTTTTAAATTAAACATATACACATTGGAATAAATATACACACATTTACTTCAAACTGAAACAAAAAGTAACTGATGAAATAAATTCAACGAATTTAAAATTTCAAAAATAAAATCTAATTATTCCTTACTTTATTTAATTCTTCATCTAATGACTTCTCTTCTGCAGCAGTTATTCCTTTTTGATGTTGAACAAATTGTAGTTTCTGGTTTAGATGGCTGATGATGTTTATCATGGAAAAAATTTTCTTTTGTAATTCTGCAGTTTCCTGAAGAAATTATTTTAAATAAGCTAACATAAAATTCCTGTTATGTTTCACTGAATATCAAAAAGAATCAAAGAATATTACTTCAATCTTTTATTTTAAAAAGGTGACATTTGTAAAGAGAAATTCAATGAAAAGACTAGAATTTATAGTTAATCAATATTTAACAGTTCTTGTTAAAAGAGAAAAATAACATAATGTTTTAATAAAAAAAAAATTCTTGATTTAAAGTCAGATTGAATGTATTTAAATAATATGCAAAAACATAATTCAATTAACAAAATATTTTATTACTTGTTAATAGCTGCATGGTGCACACTATTTGCGCTTCCAATTTTATACAACTATATATTTAATCAACAGTAGAATAATAATGAAAATGGTGTGTTCATATATATATTTTTTTAAAATTTCAATCGGCAGAAGTTCGAATTTTTTTATTATTATTATTATTACTCTATACGATATCAGCCATGCAAATTAGAAATGAATAAATAGTAATTCTTGAAAGCTAAAAACAAATATCAAAGCATTCAATTACTTCTTTCAATTGCTTAGTAACCTCTATATTATTCTCAATTTCTGTACATATTACATCATATTCGGCATAATTCACTGGCCCCTCTATCTGCAAATAAAAAAAATTACTATTAGAATTATAATTGCTTTTCTTTTAGTTTTAATGACAAATGTGAACATCCTACAGCAATATGTCCCATTTCAAATTTTGTTTATAAATTGAGAAAGTTATATTTATTTGAGTTAATAAGAGAAAAAAAAAACACGTTTTTCAATGATTAATATTCATTCTACTTTTGTACTGCAGGCCATGCTTATGGTATATTATATAAATTTATTGCTACTAGAAAAATCTTAAGATTATACTTACTAAAGAGTCTGAAACGGATAAGCTATTTCAGCATTTATTAGTAATGTAAAACTGAGCATGTGACTGAATTTTTTTATTAAAAATATTTATAGACAATAGTAATTTCGAAGTGACGTTGAAAAAATACAGGGTGTTTCATAATGACCAATCTTAATGTATGTTCTTAGTGATGGTTTGGAGACAACCCAGTTTCTGATAAATGGGTACTGATAATGGAGCCAACCTAATAAGGAAAGGGCTACATTGGCATCATCATAACGTTTATGACTCCTTTGGCTAACAACAAGCTGTTAAAGAAATATTTTACTAAATATAGACTTTGAATCCTTTAAAATAATGAAGTAATAAGGAAATACACAAAAGGAGCAAAAATCTTTTCAAACTGTGACTATTTATTAATAAGATAAAGAAATTGATAAAAAAAATAAGTTGAAACAAGTGTATTAGAAAATAGGTAGTTGTTAATGAAAGGTTAGCATCTTCCAGTTTAATTAAGCAAGCTGATTTTTGATAAGTTATATCATCAAATCTGACCTGCTTCCATAGTTCGGAAGGATTTTTTTCCACTTATACTTGTCATTGTAGCCTCTAAAGTAAATAATTTTTTTTTACATAATTTTTTGTAAGGATTCTGAAATATGGAAGCCACAATAGAACTCAGTATACATAAGATGTGCGCCGTCAGTATGTAATATTTCTATCCAGGTGTCTATAAATATTGCCACCTTTGACCACAAAATTTTACAACTGACAGCAAAACTTTTAAATTCAAAATTAATTTACTATCTCCTGATATAAAACCATCTGCAATTTCAACATTTTGTTTGACTGAATAAATTCTAATAATTACATATTCCCTCTATTTTATATCAGAAAATAAAACAGTGTTCCCAAAATTTAAAGAGAGCTGTATTAATCAATCAACCAATACTGTATTAATCAATCAAGCCTTGATAACCATGTATATATAACAGGGTGCGTAGCGTTTTTAAAAAGTGCTTATTTTCGTTTTTTAAAAGCCCTTAAAGGTGCTTTTTTTCATTGGGTGTTTTTGAAAAGTGCTTATTTTTCCTTTACTATGTTGATTTTCGCTTCGAATTATGCAAAAAAGCACAGTTCATATTGTTCTATTCAACGTTTTCATAATTAATTCAACCCCAATCTATTTCGGCGTATAGTCAGTCCGCAGCGTATGAGAACGCCATTTATTTTACCTGATTCAAAATTTCATGATTTTTGACAATTGTGAAAAACAATGCCAAAGGGTTTTTTTTTTTTTTTTGATGTGATGCTTAAAACAAGATTAAACCGTCTATTGTCAAAAACTTTCCAACCCTGTCTAATTATGATATTTTTTTAAAGTGCTTAAAAGGTGCTTATTTTTTGTTGAATAATTTGGCTACGCACCCTGTATAAGGAAATAAATTATTTGAACAGCAATAATTATTTAAAAAAGAAGCTAATTGTCAGTGACTTATATTAGTTCTAAAATACTATATTAATAAGGAAATATACAAACAACTCCGGTCCAAACAAACAATATACAACTCCGGTCCAGATAGGCTAGTCTACGATCCTCGACTTCACTAAGATTCACCTAGTACAGGGCTGTCCAACTTCAAAGAGCCCACGGGCCAGAATTCCGGTCACTGATCACCTGGCTGGCCGCAGTTTGAAAAAGTTGAACAATATCCTCTTGGCTCATATACAATAACAATTAATAGTTGAATTATTAATTATAAAACAATGGAACAGAAGGATTATAAAACAATTTGCTTACATTTTAATGGGAAAACTGAGGCCGATCAGACTGAAAAAGAAGTTGGCGGGCCACCAGTTGGACAGCCCTGACCTAGTATATGCAATATACGTGCTCGTAAAATATGTGGAATCGAAAGTCCTGCGATCGGTCGCTATGCTGTACCATGAACACAGAGATCTGGAGAAAATTTCCTTCCCCTCCAGATCTATGTTTAAATTGAGAAAGTGGCCTCACGACTAAGTGGTGCTGCCATCTATCCGGGGAATTCTGAGCTAAGACGTACTTTCATCCCTGCATTGTTCTTTTATCAAACGAATGGAAATTCCTGCCTTAATTCACAAAAGCTTGTCTCGTCCAAGTATCATTAGAAACAGCAACAACCTCCTTCTCCGTAAATATCAAGTACATAAGGAAGAATTGTGAAAATAAGCATAAGTTTGTTATCATTTTCCCAAGTTTAAAAATTAAACATAATTGCCTAAGAGAACATAAAAAGACGTACGAATCAAAATTAAAACAGAAAATTGATTTTTTTTCTATGTTATGTGGGAGACATTTGAGCCCATAATTTTTTTAATCACCGCAGATTCACAAAAATTTTCGGATACTGCAGCTAAAAAGAAGTATCATACTAAGCTCCTCTTTTTCTGAATAGCTTCTTGTAAATCATAATTCTTTCTCATGTATTCCAATTGATAGTACTGTAAATTTTCTTCTGCTTCATGTTCTTTCTGTAAGAGCTTATTCACTTCCTATAAAAAAAACACGTAAGTAAAAAAAAAAAAAATTTCACTTTTATTTAAATTCATCTTTTATATAAGAACAACATTTTAATTAAGTATTATTTACATTTGTAAAAAGTATTAAAATGAATAATTTATCCAATATTTTCATTTATAGACTAATTGCTTTAAATTTACTAAAAAATTATTCGTTAATTTTTTCTAATAAATCTCAGCTCACTTTAACAATAACTCAATTGTAAAACATATATCATTATTTAAAAACAATTTTCTACGTGCATATGTTGCAACGCTAAACAGATAGCATTGTTACCTCTTTGGAGAATGTTTCCCCTGTATTGCTATTTACAGATTGAAGAGCAGCTTTTTCTTTAAGTGATTTAAATTCACCATTCAATTCGTTGTACTTTAACTCTGTTTCTGATATTTGCTTTCTCAAATCATCAATTTCTTGGCAGGATTTTAATTCAAATGTGCGTATCTCTTCCTCTTTCTCGTCAATCATGTCTATTAACATTTAAAAATATAAAATTTCTTAAGATGCTTGCTCACTAAGAAATAAACAATGACATAACAAAATACAAATTTTAAGTTACTTCTTTCTCACAATTGCTACCAACATTAATACATTTGCCGTATGATAAACGTCCTTTACAACCTGCTGCACCTCTTAGTTTCATAATTGTCAACTCTATAGTGCTTTCTTTAATTAAGAAAAAGAGTCTAGTCTAATGGGGCAAGATCAAGACTATAGTTAGTAATTTCAGAAACAATCAATGCAGCACATTATTTCAAGATTCAATCACCCTTCAATTTTGATCCCTTAAATTTAATGACTTCAAGTCAGCATTATTGGGACCAGAGCTGTGGCATCAAAAACCGACTTGTTTGATTGAGATCCTGACTTACACTCAATTATAATATCAAGAAAGTAATAATAATTTAAGTAATTGTTAATTTCAAATTATCAGCTTCTATTTTTTTATGTGCAATTAAAGTAAAGGGTAATTTATATAAAATCATATCTGCCAAGTATCCTGTTTTTTAACGAAGTCTCGTGTATTTTACGACTATCTACTGCTTACCTGTATATTCTCAAATTTCTCCATATTTGTTGAAGAAATTAAAAGAAAGAAAAAAAATTGGTGATAAAATATCTACTGATAGCAAAAATACTTATCTTATTCCTCAACAGATGGTGTTATTGCCAACTGCAGTATGTTGAGTGTCAATGATAGCTCAGCGAATAGAGCTTTCGCCTTGCAATGAGGTGAACCCAGGTTCGAGACCCAGCGATGACTGGTTGATGCGAATTCCGCATCCGGCTTGCACCGACAACAGTGCTGACGTGAAATATCTTCAGTGGTAGACGGATCACGGGTTGGAGTCCTCTTGTCGTCAGGCTAACCGTGGGAGGTTTTCGTGGTTTTCCTCTCCACGTAACTCGAATGCGAGTTAACTCCATATAAAAGTCCTCCACTAAGCAAATTTCTCCCAATACTTGATCCAGGTGTTCCCTTGTCTTCTGGATTGGGTTCAAAATTACAAGGCTACGGAGTTGAACATCAGTAGTCGCAAACCCAAAATTGGGTCGGTTAGTAAAATCTCCGTTATTTTACTTCTGTAATGTTGGCAGGTATGAAAATTATGTTTTCTATTATAACGGTTGAAAGTTCAATGTTTTTTTGGGGTTTTTTTTGCCAATTTTTAGTAGAATGCTTTTCTTTCTTCTTTTTTTTAAAAGTTGATTTCATGCTATGACAATACATATCAATGTACAATGCCCTCCCCCCCCCAAAAAAAAACAAGTGGATCACCGTGAGTAACTTTTGATCTAATGATCGGATCTTAACGTTCTGGGACTCAATCTTAATTGTGACCTCAAATATTCTGGTTGATAAATTTGAGCAAAATCGGTTGAATATTTCCTAAAAAATTAAATTTCAAAAAATTCATATGTTTAAAATTCGATTTCTCAGAAGCTATTCAACCGATTTCGGGCAAATTTTGTATTTTACCATGTGAAATGACTTTCTTTAAAATGATTTAAAAATTTATATACCTTACAATTCAAAACTTTTTCGATTATTATTAAATAAAAGAATAAAAAGCAATAAATATTAACTAAAATTTATTTTTCCATAGAATTATCTTTGGATAAACGAATTTTATAATTGTATCCAAAATTTTTTTAATTCTCTTAAAAATTTCTCGAGATTAACGAAATATGCAAAAAATTAAATTAATATTAAGGAGCCCCAAACTTTGGATCGCTTTGATAAAACTATGGGGACCATATTTCCCAAATTGCTGCTACACCCTTTTGGGGGTCAGAAAGCAAAATCCCTTGAAAAAAAGTTATGTATATTTAGAGAAAGTGAGTTTTTGTGTCTGATTTCGTAACTTAAAATATCATCTGCGCTAATTAATTAGCATATTTGAGGTCACCCCCTCAAACCATTAGGATTGAGTCTCAGAACTTGAAGTTCTGATCATTAGATCAAAAATTATTCAGGGGGTTTGTTTTTTTTCCCTTTTTTCACATTGTACATTTGTTGTGACAACTTTAACAAAAAAAAAAACTTTCTATATAACGTCATTATGTATATGTCATTATGTCCTGAATAAAAACCCTTTTCCTACTTTAAAAGCATTATGAAACATATAACCTTTGCCCTTTGCAGTAAAAAGTTAAACTTCGTAGAAAAAAAAACATAGAAATATATGTTACGATTCTTTAACTTGCAGTCCCTAAATTAAACTACTGTGTCTCCTAACATCATACCAAATATTTTTTATCATCATTCCTAATATTTGCTTTTTACTGCCCCTCAAAAGATATGTATCTGAGAAAATCACTTAATAGTGGTAAATTTTAACTATCATGAATCGGCCGCGAGCAATAGCATTATGCCAATTAAATCTTGTCTGCTAGAAAGCGGAATAAATTTAAACACAATCGAGGTATCCAGTTTTACCATGCTCTACCCTATTCTGAGGTAGTATCTAAATAATTTTAACTTACAGTTTATTATTTACTATGAAAATACTCTATATTTTTTAACTATTATATTGAAGGTTAATAAATAAATGAAAGGATAAGCGTTATTATAAATTCTTACTTAACATGTTAAAAAACGTTTGTTTGTTAGAACTTGATGGCATCTCACTGTCTTGTTTAAAATCCTATAAAAACAAATATGAAAATTAATATTAACACTACATGTGTAATGCACTAAGAAATCAATATTCTAACGAGAATATAAAAAAAAACGTCTTGATAACCTAAAAAGTTTATGATATTTAGATTTTTTATTTTTAAATTTATTTTTTGTTCTGCATTTAGGTGGTGAAAAGTTTGCGAGTTAAACTTGAGGATTGTTTATTTTTTTTTTTTAAGATTTCCCTCTTTTCCCTAAATAGAGACATTTACAGATTTTACTTAGCAAGATTTTCCCTAACATATAACCGAGGAGCGCAACTTTTCGTGTACACTTTCATGACTGCTCTGTCTTATAATTAATAAATAAATTTTGTACCCTCCTTCCCTGCCTAAGACCTGTTTTAATCCTTCCACTCGGCAACGACGTTATAAGTAGCCAGGTATGTACTTTTATAATATAAACTACATTTGAATTCATAGGACATTAAAAAGTGCGTAAGAAACTTAAAATAATTTAGTTGGAAGGTAAAGTGTAAAATTTAAATACGACAAAGTACATTATTCGCTCCAGCTATTAAATTTTTTTTTTATTTTTTTGGTTCTTTAAATCATCAAGAATTCATTATTCGGGCCGGGATAGTGGTTGATAGGACTTCAATTCGCAATAACGGGAGTTCGAATCCAGACGGCCAAAGACATACAGGTATAGTAAATAGTTACTGGTGCACGTTAAATCTGTTGGGTCACAAAGTCCTCCCTGTTCCCATAGCAAATTATGTCTCTGCGGGTACTGGATTGAAGATTGATCGTTCTTTAGTTATGCTCAAAATTACGATCTGTAGATGAATGAATGGATGTATGAATGGGTCAGCGCTATAAACAGGTGTGACGCATGGGTGTGACAGAAGTCGAATTCTTGGCTATAGATGGCTTCGCTGGAAAACAAGAACAATCACACCCCCATTGCCTTAATGGCCTACCTCAACAACAACAACAATCCATTATTCAAATCAGTTGCACTCACCTTTATCAATTTCTTAGTCCCAGGATGTGTTCCAATGTTAAAAACAATGAGCTCAGGTTTTTAAAGCATTACAAAGGCCTTCAGCAAAATATATTTAATAACAAAAAAAGGAATGATGTTCATGGTACAGTACCATAAAGGAAAACAGAATGCAATTAATCCTTTTGCATTACTGCGCCATCTGTTGGATTTTAGAAATTATTATTATTAACATTGAAAAATATTATTAACACCAGCGTATAATACTTCAAGCACCCCCCAAACAAATAAATAAATGATACTTTTTTTTAATAATGTTTCTCTTTACTTTTATAATATGTATTTCCTTTTAGAATAATTAGAATGTGTGGGAGCACTTCGCACTTTCTTGGCACAGGCCTAGGGTTTGATCTTCGGACCGGGCAAGGTTGACTCAGCCTCTAACTGAATTCTTTGTACTTCAGTTAGTATTTGCTATTTTTCTAATGTAGCTAAAAAAAATACTATTCCTTTTGTGTGATTTCCAAAGCAAGGAAAAAAAATTATTTCTCAGGGGAAAAAGAAAAGAATTATTTCTCAGTGGGAAAAAAAGAATAATCAAAGATAATTTTTTGTTTAATACGTTAAAAAAGTCAAATAGAAGTTAAGAGTGTTCTTTTTTCTTGCTTTTTATTGTTTCCTCTGTCACTTCAGCATACAAGTAGATATTTTAGCGGAATTCTTACTTACGTGACCCAAGGGTCCCTTAAATAAACCTGATAGTATCTGTTGAAGCATGATATTTTCTGCCAACAAAGTTTTTTCTTCTTTCTTTATATCCTTAAAAAAATGAAAAAAAATCAGAAGAGCTTTCAAGTTGAAAAAAATCTATTTAGACTATAAATATGAAGTTGATCAAGACATGAAAAAGAGATTTGGAACAAATAAAATAAAGAAGCTATAAAACAAATAAAATTAATTTCACCATATGGAGATTTTATGCTTTAATGTTTTCAATTTTTAAACTTGTAAGAAGGTTTGTGCTAAGAGGTATATTATATCTTTAAATATATATATACATAAAAAAAATAGTAATTACGTATTATTTCGTCGATCATTTTCACTAAATCTGAAAAGAAATTTGGAAATGCTTTACATTTAAATATCACCTCATTTCTTTGCAAGCGATAAATTTTATTTCGATTTTACCAATTTCTTCATAATCACTGTATTAAAATAAATTTGAAAGATACCAAAATGACTTTGGTGCTATGATGGCAAAATGGTAGACGGAATAATACGCAAGTACCGAAAAAAATAATAATAGAAAATATTTCAGGTAATATTATTTTACAACTAGACTTGCTAACTGCTCCATCTTTTAAATATATACTGTTGGTTGAAGCACTAGTGCGTTAGGCAGCAATACTATGAATAACATGCATTGATATGCTGCAATTAGCCTTTTTTTTATTTATCTGGTGTCTTCGGGTATTGCTCCGAGTGTTTGACACTCTTATGTTTGAAATATTTTTTAAATGACCTATGTTCCTGTTGGAGCAAGAGTAGAGTGGAATTTGTTAAGTCTAAGTATCGAAGTGAAATTTTTTAAAACATAAATTAGAATGTATGAAAAGTGTTAAATCATGTAAGAAATGGAAACATTATAAGTAAGACCCGGATTTTTATGACATTTGCATTTTTGGACGTTTTTTGTCCTTCAGAGCATTTTTTTTTAGATTTATAGGGCATTTTTTTTTTAAATTTTGGGGCATATTTTGCATTTTAAAGTATTTTTTAAGTTTTCTGTTAATTTTTTCCATTTTTTATTATTTTTTGGGGCATTTTTATTACATGAAATGCAAGATTTGTCTTATAATTTTACATTTCATATTGTAACTCTCATTACCACCTGCATGCCATTATGTTTTTTCATTATGTTATTGATTGATATAAAATCTTTAGAAGTAATTCTTTGTTGCAGTTTTCCCATTTTCTCTGATTTGCATAGTTTAGAACATTACAATTTTCAAGGAAAGAATTTACTATTGTCCACTATTGAAAGAAACTGTGGAGAGACATAAGAAATAAAGTCTGAAAACCTCGTGAAAGGTTAGAGCCAAATGATTGAAGACCTTTGTATTCAAATGCACCCCTGTGCTTCAGAATTGTCCACAACACAAATGTCAATTATTTGACAAATCCCTAAATCCTTATGGCCCAATGGTGTATAACACAATAATGTTCTTCTGTTTCTATCTGATGCTGCACCATATATGATCAAAGCTGGAAAGTCAATTAAAAGATTTTATCCAAAACTAGTTCATGTAACTTGTCTTGCACATGCACTTCATCGTTTTGACGAAGAGATCGGTGTAAATTACTCTGATGCAGACAGTCTGGTGTCAAATGTGAAAAAGATTTTTCTGAAAGCCCCATATCGTCAAGAATGTTTCAAAACATTTGCTCCTAGCATAGCTTTGCTCCCTAAACCAGTAATAACACGATGGGGTACCTGGTTGGATGCATGCTTACACTACAGTGACAATTTTAAGATAGTGAAGTCTATCGTCAGTAGTTTTGATTCAGAAGATGCTGCATCAATTAAGATAGCGCAAAACGTGTTGGCCTCAGATAAAACCGAAGGAAACTTAGCATTTATTAAGTCTAACTTTGCTATTGTGTCCTCGTCAATTACAAGATTGGAGAAACAAGAATTGGAACTTTGCGATGCAATAAATTATATTGATGTAGTGAGTCAAGTGTTGCAAAAAGCAAGGGGAAAGATAGGACAAAGTGTAGCAGCTAAATTGAACAAAGTTTTGGCGTAGAACACTGGCTTCCAAACAATGAAGAAAATTTCTAGGATATTAACAGGTGAAGCAACATCTTTTCAAATCGAAGAAGAATTGTTAGTAAGTGAGACCGTCTTTTTCCAGTACGCACCAATAACATCAGTAGACGTTGAAAGAAGCTTCTCCAGGTATAAAAATCAAGAGACGCTCGTTTACATTTCAAAATATCAAAAAACATTTAATAATCCAATGTCATTCTGATATTTAGTAATATTATGAGATGGAAGTTGTTATATTCATTAAAGTTTCTATACAAAATGAAAATGTTTCGGAGTCAATATATTTTCCTCTTTTTTGTTATTTCAGGATATAAAACATATTTTTCAAACTTTAATGAACGTAGAAAAAGTATTGCATTGCTTTCAGAGCCGGATTATACCTTTCGTAGGCCCTAGGCATAGCCGTTTTTGGGCCCTCCCCTCCTTCCCCCACTCCTCCCCTCTTTTCAAAATATATAGGCTAAAATTTGCGTAGTTTGGAATTCGACAGTATAATACAAGATTTCGTTGAATCCAAAAATCGCAAAAAAGTAATATAGTAGATCATAAGATTCTGCAAAATAATTTATTACCGAAAAATATTATATTTTTATTTGTATTTTCATAATTTTGTGCAAAATACACTTGTTGTTTTTAAAGCTAAATTATTTTTGTCAACAAATTTTTTTGTCGACAAAAATAATTTAGCTTTAAAAACAACAAGTGTATTTTGCACAAAAATTTTTTCTCCCAAGTTTTTCGTAGGTCCCTGAATTTCGTAGGCCCTAGGCACGTGCCTAGTGTGCCTATAGGTTAATCCGGCCCTGATTGCTTTATATATTTTGAAATGACTCATAATAATTTTAAAAAGTAAAACTTTTTTTAGTTCAATATTTGTACTTTATTTAAGTCATGTCATAAGGCATTTTTAGCGCAATTTTCGCATTTTAAGGGCATTTTTTTTGCATTTCTTAAGGGCATTTTTTGCACTTTTTAAGGGCATTAGTTGAAATTTTTTAGGTCATCAAAATCCGGGCTCTAGTTATAAGTAACGCTTATTCATGATTTTTAAAAGCTGAAATGAAAAATATTTTATTTTTTATAAATTAAAACAAAATGACAGACAAACTTTTCGTCTATATGAATCAGGTATGAAGATGGTTAAGGAGAGATGAATAGAATGCGCAAATTTGCAATATATAGTGAATTCGACTTCACGTATTTTTCTTAATAATGTATTTCAATCACAATAAAAAAAATTACTAACATGAAATTAGAACTTTATCATTTATGTATATTTAAGCCATTTAAACAAACAAAGTTTTAAAAACTGGTAATGTGTACGTTACTGTTTTGAGAAATTAAGCTCCCCCTGACAAAAATAATGGAGTCAATCTATAATTACCTTTATTTTTAATGTTTTATCAGCATCAAAACTCATTACATTGTAGTTTACCGTTATTATGAAATAAAAATGAAAATATTATATTGCCAAATTATGCCAGAAAAATTATTATGCTGATTAATGAAATACCGTGTTAATGAAATGTTCTTGAAGAAACTATCATATGGTAAAATGAACTATCGGTGATATGATTATTGAGTTGATATTATAAAGATAAAATTAATTCCAGGTAAAGTTATCAGAACGCGATCCATACAATAATTTAGGTGCAATTTGTAGTTACTTAAGCTACTTTTCAATTTAAAAAATCTACTAATTCAAGAATATTTACCGTAAAGATTAATTAATTGCTTGTTAGAATTTAATACTTGTAGTTGATAAGATGGAGAAGGGGGATAAAGGACTAAAATAAATGTACACGCGCTATTTAAAACAATAATTAGTGAAAAAGATAAAAAATAAAAACATTTTAAGAAAAAGATAAAAGACGAGAAAAGAAATAAAATATTTCCTCAGAAACAGAATTAACTAGTTCCTAATTATGCATTTCATAAATGACAATATTTTGGACAAACAAAAGTAATCCCATAATTTGTTACAATAAATTCAGAATTTTCTAGAATAATACCCAAATATAACTAGATCAATTAAGAAAGTATTTTATAGTTAAACGAAATAAATTTATCTTGATAAATAATGTTTAAAATTTCAAATAAACTATGTAAAATTAAGTTCAAGAATATTTAAATTTATTACAGTTTAGATAAAAGCTTACACAATCGAGCGCCTCTCTTATTTTGGAGATTTTTAATGTTCTTACAGAAAACAGAAAAATGAATTAAAAGTGATATTTTCTAATTACAAGAAATCGAGATAGAAATAATAAGAAAATGGAAAATTTTATGTGCTGTAAATGCTCAAGGTAGAGTACGTAATCCAAGGGGTACCCTATTTTACACTCTAACAAAAGTCTATGCAGATAATTATCATTAATATTAATTAATTTATATTCTCTATCATTGAAAAGAACTTGAACGAAGGATAAAGATTTTTTCCATGAAGGAAATTGTAGCAGCAATGTCTAACAACTAGCAATTCTTTTTAATTCTATATAATTCATAAGAAGATAGAAATTATTCTCTTAAAATTAACATTATTTCTTCGTCCGTTTCAAAAGTTTGGATCGTTTATATCGTTTTTGCAATATAGAGCTTTCACTGTACGATTTCAAAATGATTCAGGACTTATAATAATATGAAATCTCAAGCCTTTTAAATTTAATTATAGAATTAATAATTAATTTAAATACATATCAAGAATGTAATAACTGAAATTTCCTTACTAACCATTATTTTTTTAATTAATTCCTCTTTGTTTGATATCTTTCTTTCAACTATTTCGGAAAAATGATTGCCTTCGTGCTTATTTATGTCATCAAAATTCCTTTGAATGTCGCTTTCTTTTGAGTCGTCATCATCACTTGATATTATTTCGGAATCCATTTAGAATAATGCTATAATATATATATATTCTTTGCTGAATATTTATTTATAATATACACAAAACTGAACTTAGTTGTCATAGTAACTACAATAGTTGGCTTATCTCTATGGATTTTTAAACATGCTTTGTCACTAATGCTTTATAAAATGGATATACAAAGATAAAGAAATTTTACTTCATAGTGGAGTATTATTAATGTTAAGTTTTCTAATTGTCAACCTTTATTTATGAAACTAGTCGATGAATTTTTATCAAATAAAATAGTTCTTGCCAATGATTATTGTTAACCTGTCAATCTCTTGGCAACGGAATTTGGCGCAATTTATTGTTTAAACTGAAGTCGGTAATCGATAATAATATGCTGTGAATTTCTATTTCTTAGCTGAATATTAGCCTATATATAAATTTTTACTTTATTTTATTAGTTGTTCACAAATTTTGTCTATTTTTAATATAATAATGTTAGTTAATAAAGATAAAACATCTGTTGGTTCAACTCAATCAAAGGGTCAAATTCAGGTATATGTAACGACTTGTGCTGTCTAATGCATTTTGTATTTTATTAATAATTAAATATCTTAAAATTGTTTGTGGCTTTCAGGTAATATTCGGGCCAATGTTCTCTGGGAAAACGTAAGTTCAGATTATGTTTCTACTGCTTTCTAAGTTAAAGCTTTGTAAAACCGTAGCAGCATTTTTCATTATTTCACAAATTTTTAATACTGATATTGCATTCAAAATTCATTCGCAGATTAATGAAGATTATCTTCAATTATAAATTTAAATAACTGACTTTCTCACTAAGAGATTTTTACATATCTTAGAGCCGAGCTTATGACTTTGATTTTTTGGCATAAATTTTGATTTGATGCCATACTTTAGTTAACTTTATCGATTTCTTCATTTGCCAATTTTTGAAGGTGTAGTGCTAGAACACTGAAATGATATATTTCCGTATCGTGGCTTGTCGCGCTTACTACAATCGCCAAGGTTAAGAAAAAACATGTAGATGTTTGCCCATGGGTGGTTACAAGTCATACATTTCAAGAGTTGCTCCCTTTCTGTGATATTTTTTTTATTTCCTCGCAACTGCCCCGAAGTTGCCAAGACTTGGCGATTATTCTGCTTCAGATTACGATACGTAAATCTCCCCATGATACAACCAGTTGGAATCTTGTTTTAAAGTTGAATTTTTTTCTTTAATTTTGGTATTTCAGGAAATCCTGTTCTGTTTAACTTTTAGTGTAACATTTTGGGAAGTTTTCTGTATCATAATCATATCAAAATAATCACCAAATCTTGGCAGTGGTTTGCGAGAAACTAAAAACATTACAGAAGGAAACCAACTCCAAGGGTATAACTTGTAGTCAACTCTAGACAAACATCTACCTTTTTTTAGAAAAATTTACTAGATTAAAATCTATTTGTCATCTTGGCAATTGTAGTTGGCAAGGCAAAGCACGCTACAGAAATATCCCCAACATTTTCATTTATACTGATTTAACACAAATATAACTTTATTGCGAACAAAAACGAACACATAAGTACTTTCTCATAAATGATTTATGAGAAATTATTTAAATTTTTTTTTTTAAGCAAATGCATGTCTGTCATGTAATTTGAATATGTAGATGGCAAATATTAATGCACTTTTTCTAAATGTACTGAAAACATTTTTATATATGCTGGGTTTTGTATTTTATATGATAAATCTAAATTGCACTTAGTTTGTTATAAAAAAATTGTTTTTACAGAAATTTAAATTTAATTGTTGAGTTTTCATGTTTATATAAATTTTTTTATTAACTAGAGGGATGTTGTGTTAATTTATGAATTAATGAGGCGCACTTTTATTACTGCTTAAATATTAATTTGTTTAGTTATGATGCATTTTATACTTCAGAAACCTTGATAGGTAGTACTACTTAATAATGAAATAGGCACCTTCACAGAATATCATTGCTTTAAATTTTTATTAAATATGCAATTCCACTGGTATATATTATATATTTTTCAATAAATAATTTCATATTTTTAGGACAGAATTAATTCGGCGGTTGAGACGTTATCAAATTGCAAAGCATAAATGCTTAATTGTGAAATACGCTAATGATGTTCGCTATGATGCTGTAAGCATAGCAACACATGATAGGTAAGATGTGTTAATTTCATCTTTTTACCACAATTGTTTTAATAGATAATAATTGTTTTTCAAAGATCCGTTCTTGTGAAAGGGTGATTATTATATTTTATTTTTTAATAGTGATCATAATTTTTTAATAATGACTATGTTTAATAAATATAATATATTAAATATTAGTAATTAAATTTGTATATAACTTATGTACCTCTCCAGATAAGTGTATCTTTTGTTTCTTAATTTAAGTTAAAACCAAATTCTGTTGCGTATGCAGCATCCTTAACTTGCTCTTTAGTATTTTATTTTGCAACATTTGATTGAACTTTTTGCAATGTGTTGTGCATCAACATAGCTTTTTATAGAATCAATAAAATGTCACTTCTAAAATTTGTTCTTTCTATAAACCATTGTCCGATTTTTAATGAAAATCTTAGGATTTTGACAAAGTTAAGATCCAAACTATGAAACATATTCTCCACTGTTGTGCACATGAGGGCAAATTGGTTTAGAATCTGAAAGTAATAAGGAGGTGGCTTTTTCTACAGTAGCCTGACAAGCTGTAATCCAGTTAAATGCTATTAGGGATAAAGCATCTGTCCTCCTAACAGCAGGAAATATAGTAATTCAACTAATTACATGCTCTGATAGTGATAACCTAAGAATAAAGCAAACTTTAAACTGTAAAACAATTTGACATAGCATTCTGTGAATGTGCCAATTTTTCTGGATGTATTTGTCCAATATTTCTGTCTCAAGTGCAGAAAAATTCCTATTTTCATACATCAGTTTCTTTTTTATTGGAAAGGTTAAAGGGTTGGTTGTATCGGGTCAATTAATTTGCCTGTAACAAAAGGTGTGGTTGAAAGGGCTGAATGTTCATGCAAGAGGCTTATACCAGAGTTTTCCCCATCTTATTCAAATGATAGCCTACTTTTTACTGATGTTGACAATGAAGGAGGTGTTAAGAACAAAGCTAAAAACAATTTTATTAAGAATTATTCATTCATTAAACCCCGTAAACCTAAGCTAGATTTGACTGAAACTGTTATTGCTCAGAGATGTAAGTGCTGTTGCCCATTAGCTGTGCCTCATGCAGCTTTAAATGATGAAATTATTTCTTCTGGGCAATCCAAAGACATGACATCTGCTTTGACTGTGGACAAAAATAAAATAAAGTATGCGAAACTTTAAGTTGCTCAGAACTTAAAACTATGCTCGATGAAAGATTATCCAAAGACTGGCAGAAAAGAGCAAATTACTTAGATGCTGCACCTAACTCTCAATACACTCTGTCCCCTGGCTGTGCGTATAATGAAACAATTATTTATGAGTATATATTATGCGATAACTAAAAGGGAAATTCAATGAAGTTTGTAACAGAACATTTACTACAAGCATTGCAGACCAGTTGAGCAAAAATCTGCATTTATTGATAATGAGTTTGTGCTGAATTATCAGTTGAAGAGAAAGTATTTTTGTACCATCAAGAGTGTAAAAAAAAAATTTGACTTAAAAGTATATTTTCATTAAAAGTAACATTTCCCAACTCAAATATATGATTGTTTTAATCTAATTAAAATAATTACAATTTTGATGTTTTTATTTGGAATTTGAGGCTATATTTCTCACAAAAGGTATTATTTAATTGGTAAAAAAAATTATATTTGTTTTGTAAGTTACATTTCTCTTTGAAAAACTAAGCACCCTATTGTGCACACCAATTCCAGTGTTCTCCTTAAGGGTTTTCAAAAGGATGGCCTACCCTTACACTGAAATAAATAAACTTTCCTTGCCCTTTTTGTAAAAATGTCCTTTTATTATCTAATTTGTGTTCATGTTGTGTATTTACTAGGTGTGCAGAATATGTCTGATTGTGTAGGCAAGGTTAAGGGAATAGTTTTGGACTAATTTAAAAAAAAAAAATACCAAAGATTTTTATGATAAAAATAAATTGCTTCACAAAATTTCTCTCTGTGCGAGTGGGAAAAAATGGAATAGAAAACTATTCCCCCTTTAAAAAAATCTGATTAGAAAAAAACAATAATATTTTGTATTATGTTAAGCGGGAAAAAAATATTTATTGTTATGTTAAACGAAAGAGAATGTTTTATATTATCATTTTTTTTTCTTTGTTGAAAAAAAATTGAACAATATACAAACTTAACTTTTAAAAATATTTTAAAAAAGCTACTTTTAAAAAAAAGGATATGTGTTTATATATATGTTTATAAATGTATTTTTATTCATTTTTTATAGTAAAGTTTGTATATTGTTTTTTGTATTTTCTCCCAAAATTATTCATATTACGTTTTGGGAGAAATTTTAAATCCAGAAAACTATGTTGAAGGAAATATTAGGCTCTGAGAATTTTTTGCACTCCTGGTGTTTAGTATTTACAATGCTGACTTAAAATTGGCTAAAAAGTAATTGGTGAAAATCTGCAAACCTTTTCTGACTATTTTTATTTGGGTCACTTTTTTTAGGCAATGCTTATCAGCAATTTCTGCAACAACTTTAACAGACTTAGAAAACATTGCATCCAATTATAGTGTAATTGGAATTGATGAAGGACAATTTGTAAGTAGATTTTATATTAAAATTTTTCTTTGCTATATTTTTTAAGGTTTTGCAAAGTATTCTAATCAAAAAAATTTTAGTTTCCAGATACTGTTCAATTTGCTGAAAAAATGGCAAATAATGGAAAAGTTGTTATAGTGGCTGCATTAGATGGTACATTTCAAAGAAAAGTAAATAGAGCTTTGAAATTATAATAAATTATATAGTAAATAATGATTTGATTGTAAGATTTTCATTGATGTTTGTCCATTTATGATGTTTGAAATTTTCTGCCATGGTATGATTTGAAAATGCTAATTTGTCTCTTTAATAATGGACAAAATGTAGACACAATATCTTCACTAACCAAAAAAAAATTTAAGCTTCTCTTACAATTATTTATTTTAATCAAGTTTAGCCTCTTTATTTTTTTATTATTTTAAAGAAAAATTGCTATTGATCCATTCCCATTATTTCATGATCTCCTTCCCAGAGTGATCCAACATAGTTGTGTTATTTTAAGTTAAAAAATTAGCTTAAATCCTGATTATTTCTTTAGTCAATTTCCATCCATTTGTATAAAATAAGCTCGTTTTTCACTATAATTTAGTTTTACTTTTCTACTATAAAGTTACTCTTAGAAAATAAATATTAATATAAAATTATGTTGCTTTATAATTTGTTTGTAAGTTAGGAATTTAAAATTAAAACTATATTACATGCTAAAAATTTTTCTCCTAATTAAGTTTTTTTTAAATCAATTTTCCAGCATTTTATTTATTTTGACATTCTATTATTTCATTTATATTTTGAAATAAGTTCAAGTTTTGATTTCGATGTGTCAAACTTCATTAGTTATTAAAATAACTTCTCTTATGATATTTCTTGTTAATTCTTAATTAAACTTAACTATCCGATTATTGAGAAATTTTTACCTCTGTTAGACTTGCCTCTTTGATTACAGTAGTTCCCTTAGTGTTTATTTTTTTAATTTTGTTTTTATATATTTTTAAATTTACCTTTAGGAATTTGGAGACATACTTTTACTGGTACCATTGGCTGAAAGTGTAATTAAGTTAACTGCAGTATGTATGATATGCTTTGAGGAAGCATCATTTACAAAAAGAATTGGAAATGAAACTGAGGTAAATATTGCAACAAATTTGTATTCTCATTTTTGTAGTGACTTTAATATTTAAAATCAGAATTTTTTTTTTCTCCCGTTCATAAAATGTTAAACATTTTTTCTTTTGAAACTTTTTTTCCTAGAAAGAGTCATAAACCTCTCATAGAAGTATTTTGGTTTTATAGAAAACAAATTAAGAAATTATTAAGTAGTAAACTATTTAGTTGAAAGTTTCTTCCACATTGAAAGTATGCTAAAATAATTGCTCTAGAACATGTAAATTATTAGCGTAATTTATATGTTATAATGCAATAAACCTTTCTGTAATTGAAAAAGATTTGATATTTAAATGATCAAGTTCAGTGATTCTGCTAGACTTCAGAAACTGCATGTTTTTAGGACCCAAAGGTATATGATATTTCTTGATCTTTTTTACTTAACATGGGGTTCCTATTTAAAATATTAATTCTTTACCTCTTTATCCAACTATTAACATTCATATTCAGATTTATTTATCTATTAATACAGGGATGAGATTCTTCCGCGGATTCCCGCTTTTTTTTTCTTCAGATTTTTCCCGCTAATTTCCGCTGAAATTTTTTTTGCACAAGTTAAAATGTTTTATGAGGAATTTAATTTTCCGCGGCGGGAAATTATTGAAGTCCCTTTTCCTTCCTCTGAAGTTTCTCTAAAAATCATTTCCTTGGGATAAAACTGGTTGACCTTTACACAGGGATGAGATTTTTTTTGTCTCTCGAATTTCAGCCTTTTCATCAAAAACTCCGATTTTCTAAAAGTTTCGTTTTTTTTAACCCTTTCGAGCCGACTGTCACATATATGTGACAGCAAGAAACGCGCTCACTTCCCGGCCGACACACCCGCGTGTCAGAGAGTTTTCTCGTTCTCCCCCGACCGTCACATATTTGTGCCAGTGTTTCGGAACGTTTTAAAAAATGAAATTTCTTCCAAAAGATGGCATTGTATGTCCATATGGTTTCAGATACATGTAGATTTGACCTTCTACTCAAGATGAAAGTACATTCACGTGGTTTTTAGGGGAAGGAG